TATTGCTACAGGGCTTTCATCATGAAAAGATGATGGATTTTATCAAATGCTTTTTTGTACATCTATTGAAATTATCATTTGCTTTTGTTTCCTTGCTTCTGTTATGTGAAGCATCACATTTACTGATCCATACACACTGAACCACTCTTGCATTCCTGGGATGACACCTACTTGGTTAAGATGTATGATCTTTTTAATGATGTTTGCATTCTGTGTGCCTGTATTTTTTTCATCTATGTTCATTACTGAGATTGGTCTACATCATCTTTTCTGAGTGAGCCCTTGTCTGATTTTGGAATCAGGGCAATGCTAGCTTCCAGGAACGGCTTTGTGAGTACTTGTTCTCTTTTGATTTCACTAAACAGTTTCAAGAGTATCAGCATTAGGTCTTCCCTGAAGTTCTTATAGAATTCAGCAGTGGCTCTACTGTACTCCGAGATTTTCTTAGTTGGAAGGATTTATTATTATTACTGTTGTTGTTGCTGCCACTGCTGCTGCAATTTCATTTTCTCTTGGTGAATTATTCAGGGTTTTTATATCTTCTTGGTTGAGTTTTGATAATTTATGTGTGCAAAGAAATCCATCCACCTTTTCTGGCATCTCCAGCTTTTTGGAACACCGTTTTGCAATAATCTGTGTACACTTTTTCATCAATTGCATTGATTTAAGTCTTCTCTTGCCTTATTTTGATAAGATTAGCTAAGGATTTATTTTTTCTATTCTTTTCAAGAACTGGCTCTTGGATTCGACAATTCTTTGTACTGTGTTTTAGTCTCGATTTCATTAATCTCTGCCATGAACTTTATAATTTTCTTCCTTATACTAGCTTTGGGTTTGAATTGTGCTTATTTTTCTAGAGCCTTGGGGTATATCACTAGGTTATTTATTCAGTTTTACTCTGTTTTTGCGATGCAGCTTTCATAGGTATGAAATGCCTTAGGTCTCCTTTCTTTCTGCCCTGAAAGTTTTTGTGTGTTTGTACGGGCATTACTGTTTGATTCTAAGACGTGTCTAACTTCCTCCTTAATTTATTTTGTGATTCAGTGGTTACTCACTGCTCATTTGCCTTATTAATTTTATTATCTGTGTACTTGTATCTTCTTTGAGTTCTCTGAGCACCTTGATGATCTATTGTTTCATTCCCCTCTTTTATCATTTTGAATAATCCAACTAGGTGGCTTTGATTTCCACCCTCTCAGTGCCCCATGGATCAGCTTTGAAGAAGTTGGGAGTTTTTGCAGTTATTTCATTTTCTTTTTTTTTTTTTTTTTTTTTCTTTTGTGGAACCGGGGATTGAACTCAGATCCTTGCGTTTGCCAGTCAAGCATTTATCCTACTGAGCCGTCTCCCCAGCCCAGTTATTTCATTTTCAAACATTCCTTATCCTTTTTGTTTGTTTGTTTTAAGCTGAAATTTGTGGGTTAGCTATAATGGCAAGACTTCATTGCTAGTATAGAGATGTTTTCAGTTAATGTTGGCTTTTCACTGACCCACTCTGAGTGTGGCTAATTATAGCCTTTGCCTCTGCCTCAAGATTGAACCACCTCTGTTAATTTGGGGTGGGAGGATGCAGTATAATTGGCTCTTCACCCAAGAATCCAGGAATGGATTAAAATATTGCTAGTGACCCAAAGGCAACCCAGATATGAGAGACAAGCAATTAATAGCTGCAACTCCTCCACCCTGGCCATGGCAACAGAATCAGCAACACTAATAGTGTCAGAAACAACTGCACATTGGCATGCCATAAGAACTGATGATGTAAATAATGTAAAACGCTCAATGAGTTCACACATTATCCTTGCACAGGGGCCAATTCAGTGTATGAGCTGCTGAATCAACCGCTGTGCTGCTAAATTGAACCAAATTAGCTTTATTTTCGACATAGGTAAACACTGGGAAAGCCAGACCATTTTGTATAGTTCTGGCAATACAAGTCCACATTCACACTGGAGCACCACACACGTCTGAAAGGTCTGTCTTGATCATAAAATTTAAAGAATACATTACTCAGTGATGAGACATGAAAAAAAGTCACGGTCAGCTGCCACTCGAACCAGATGAGGCTCAGGTTGCCATAGACAGAACTAACTAACTACTGCAGTCTAATCCAGGAAGGCCACATTGGACTGTCCCAAAATGTGTTTCAGTTGACTATGAAAAGACTAGAGCTCCGTTTTTCCTTAGCCAGTATTCTTCACCACATTCACCACACAAAGTTTCCAGTGATGCCATAATTTCACTAAAAGAAAAAGCAATGTTCTTGCATCTTAAACAAAGCAATGTTATTCAGAACTCAAAGTACCTTTTAATTGAAATAAATGCCACTGAGCGCTTTTGAGATTGCTGGACTTTTTGGGGTTCTCAGACACTGATGCACCAAAAAAGGAATATACCTATAACTTAAAATTATCTGTCCCTCTGCATTACTATAGTTCTGTTGTCTCTTTGTAGTAAGTTTTAGTCTAACAATACCAACTCAAATACATAGTTTTTCATATATCATTTTTATATATATTTAGTTTGTATATATAATCTTTATTTTAAATTCAATCACTCATGAAAAAAATTTGGTTTTGGTTTTTTGCGACAGGATCTCACTTCATAGCTCAGGTTAGCATTGACTCACTATGTAGCCCATGCTGGTCTCACACTGGAGGCAGTCCTCTGCCTTAGCCTCCCAAGTGCTGCAATCACAGGTGTGTCCCACCATGCTTGACTCGCTCATGAAATTTCCAGTATAATTATTTAAAAAGCAGAGAATTATACATCTGTTGATACTTTTTAAATTTTATTCCATATATTTGTATAGTATATAATCAAAAATAAAACTTTTACAAATAAAAATACAATATAAGTGAAAAGATGACAATTCAGGAAAATATGATTCATTTTATCTTTATAGATATAATAAGAGGAGCTACAATACTGTCAAGAAGAATGGGAGGGGCCAGGGAGATGGCTCAGGGGAATAAGCACTTCCCTGGCAAGCACAAGGGCCTAAATTCAATCCCTGGTTCCACCAAAAAAACCCCACAAGAACAATGGGAGAGGGCCAGGGATATAGCTCAGTGGCACAAGCACTTACCTGGCAAGAGCAAGGATCTGAGTTTGATTCCTCATACAAAAAAAAAGTGTACAAAAACGCAGAAATGTCCATCTTTATAATAATAAGATAATTACAATGTACCTGATATTTGTGTTGTTGTTTTTTTTTAATACCACATAGTCAACTAGAATTGTAATTCCCTCAGAACACTGAAGTAAACATAAACAATAGGATTGTTCCTCTTCTTACTCTCAGGAATTGTTTTAACTTAAATAAAAAAATTTTATTCTGGGTGTATGTCCTATTTGCATCTTAAATTGCAAGAAATTTTTACAAAATACCACTTCCTAATGAACATTTTAACTTGCCGTCAGCTTAACTGTCTTTGAAGACAACATGGTTTTGGAGGAAAGAAAGAAGACTAAACTATCCTTATGGCCTGTGGCACAAAGGATGTCAAATTTTGGAGTTTGAATAGACCTGGAGATGTTCTAATTCAAATCCTTGTGAGAGGACGTGACTCACCCCTTTAAGAATACAAACAACATGAGGATAGGACTATAAATTATAAATTATGTTCTCATGTCTGCAGCTGTACAATATTATGACAACATGATCTTAATAATACTCAGCAAGTAGATAGATAAATTCTAAAAGCTTTTGGAGCTGTTCTTGGGAGGAAGATTCCTTATCATGAAAATCATTCCTAAACTGAGCAGGTGGTATACTCCTCTAATCCCAGGTCCTGGAGAGGTTGAGGCAGGAAGACAGGAAGTTTGAAGCCAGTTTGGGCAATATAAAAGGAACTTGTCACAAAATAAATTTTTAAAATTGCTTGAAGTGTTGTTTAGTAGTACAGTAGAGCACTTGCCTACAATGTGTGAGGCCCAGTTTCAATTCCTAGTATTGAAGAAAAAACCAATCTATCTCATATGAACTTCTCTAAATTTATGATACAATGTTTTCTCTAAATTAGCATTTAAGTATGTGAATATTTAATATATTTCTTATTTTTTATTTATGTAATAAAATGTACAATGCAAGTCTACCTACTTAAATTTCTGTACAGTACACTATTGTCAACTATTATCAGCAATGTTGTCCAGCAAAAATCTAGAATTTTCCCATCTTGAATATCTGCAAATCAATCCCTTCTGAACAACAGCTCCTGCCCCTGTCCACCATTATTCAACTGTCTGCTACTAGGAGATAGACAGTGGGCTAGATAGCTCATGAGTAGAATCTTTGCTTAAAAAGTGATTACAAGGGGCGGGGGAGATGGCTTAGTAGAATAAGCCCTTCCCTGGCAAGCGCAAGGGCCTGAGTTCAATCCCCAGTTAAAAAAAAAAAAAAAAAAAAAAAGATTACAATGGAATATGTATATATACAAAGTTCCAAGATAAATATCATTGTTATATATTGTAAGTATATGCTAATTAAAACAACTATAAGATAACAGCAATCAAAACAAAAGCAGAATCCTAAGTACTGCTTCATTTCTATTCATGTACTTTCTCCTACTGAAACATGTAAGCAATCGACCCTTACTTTCTCTCCAACTCTGTCTTATAGTTTCCAGGTTTTCAAGGTCAACTAAAATAAAGAAATGAATAAATTATCTCTTTAACTTTTAAAAAAAGTGGGACTCTTGCGTTGTTGGCGAGGAGGTTGGAAAAGAGGATGTGACTGGCTCAAGGAGGCGTGATTAATTGTTTCACTCTGATAAATTCATTTCCAGAGGAGATTTGCACCCTGGTTATTGCTGAGACTTTTCCTGAAGACGCAGGGATCTTCACCTGCTCAGCAAGAAACGAGTTCGGATCAGTGACCAGCACTGCCCAGCTGGTCGTCACCTCAGGTATGTGGGGAGTGAAGAGCGGCTGGCTTCCGCTCTGCCTCGCGTGCTTCGCTCCCGCGGGAAGCAACTGTTCCAGGTAGCTTGTCAGCGGTTCGGAATCCTGGCTGCCACTCCAGGAGTTTCTAGAACAATCGGACGTTTCATCAGAAAGCACAAGGCTGTCGGGGAGGAGAGTGGGAAGGGGTGGGACTGGAGGCTACAAGCAAGACAAGGACAGCGGAACAACTGAGTACTCTGGGGGTGCTTGTTTAAATAGTGCCACCTTGGTCCAGGAGAAAAAGGAGCTGGTTTCCAAACATCTTCGTGGTGATTTAGGATCGCATTCACCTCAGAAGGTCACCAAATCGGAGGTGCAGCCTCTGTTCTCAGTGGTGGAAACCTGTGAAATCTGTACTAGTTTTACAAGTACACCATTGTCTAATCCTCCATTGGAACTTCTGAAAAGTTCATCGGAGATAAATCTGGTGTAATTCGGAAGAACTGTGCAAGTCTTAAAAATCAAATTTCATTGATGGTATAACTCATGACAGTATATAACTTTACTATGAAAAATAAAGCAATATATTCCAGTATTAAAACCAATATTTAAAAACATATGTAGGGGGGCCGGGGAGATTGTTCAGTAGAATAAGCACTTGCCTGGCAAGCGCAAGGGCTTGAGTTCAATCCCCGGTTCCGAAAATAAATAAATAAATAATAAAAACATATGTAGGGACCAGTGAGATAGCTCAGCAAACTATGCACTTACTTAAGTAAGGGCAGGGACCGGGGTTCAATTCTCAGCACCACAAGCTGTACCAGCCCTGCCTGAGCTGTGTAGTGAGACTTTGTACCACATACATAAAAATTAAAAAGTTGACAAAAATATATAGACATTTTCTAAATTCAAAAATCACTAGAGAATGAAATATGAAACAGCTTCTTATTTAATTAATTTACCTATTTAGTTGACTGCAAAATTTGAAAAAAATAAAATAAAATATATATATGCTTCAGGAAAAGAGGAACTTATACAAATATTTTAATACTAAATTTATTGAGACATCATGAAAAATATAAGTTACCTTTGGCCTCTGCAATTCCAAGAGGTGCTCGAAGTGGTGGCCATTAACTCCTATTTATTAATACAATGAACTGCTGCTTAGGTAACCTTGGTCGTTGCCATTACTGCACATGCATTTTCAGTTTCTTCTCTCAGAGCCAGCCACGCTATGAGTTTTCTGCTATATACAGTATCCTCTAGGGTCCCCAGTACATGGGTAATGCCAACTGTTGAAAAAAATACCGAACAATTTTCCTTTTCCTGAAGTGTGTATACTATTGCTGTGAAGCTTCCCATTAGCTTGTGCTGATGTCCTCATCTCTGTTGATAATTGCACAAAGACTTTTTAAATATCTCTTTGAGTCTACTGTGTAAGTCGTAGTTCACACTGTAAGGAATAAACCAGTCGTTTCAACAGACTTTAGGAGCACAATTGAATTGCCTTTGATTCCTAGAAGAGGAAGAACCTGGGGCTAGGTGGCAGCAGAGGCACAAGCAGAACTGCTTGGGGATGTTAAGAGTACCAGTTGCAAAGGCTTTTTTATCTGAAGAGTAGAAATTCAGTTTACCTTAGTGAAGAAATAGTTTAATGGATGAGCTCTGTAAGTGGTCAAGGGTACCACCAAGGTTGTAACAGGAGCTGTCTAGTAGGAAGTGAGCCAGTATTTTGATTCTGAGTTGGCTTGAAGACTTTCCTATCAAACAGCCTCAGCAACCCTGCAGTGTTCAACAGCACGATTGGGCCCTGGGTTGCAGGGGCTAACATTGGTGTGTAACATTCTGTTTCTTTTGGGGGAAATCTATGGTAACCCCAACATAATCAATCAACACTTTCAGCTTTCTGGTCACTTCAGTAAACATTTCTGGGAGCATGGAAGGAGCTCTGCTGGGCTCTGGACAAGGTGGGGACCCAAAGACTAGATCTCAAGATACGTTCATTCTGTTGAAGGGAAAATTTTTTTTAAAACCTCTTAAACTGAGGTGTGGTTGGGGCAGTCATTTGATGTGAAAAAATATTGTTCTATGAGACTGTGACACATTTCACTTGAAGTTATGTCTATGTGCTTCAGGAAAAGAAGAACTTCCACAAACATTTTAGTACTAAATTTATTGAGACATCATGAGATTAATACAAGTTACCTTTGGCCTCTGTAATTCCAAGAGGTGTTCTAAGCGGCTCAGCTCTACCTCCTTAGCTCTAAAATAGAAAGGATCCACATAAAACCTTTATAGCTTGAGCTACTGTTGTGGACAAAAACAGGTAGGATATTCCATTGGATCCATGGGCTAAAAAGTGAAAGGCCAAAACATTGGTTGAGACTGTTTGTGCTGCCATTGTTTTTTAACTGAGTCTTGTATTTAGCTGTCCTTTAAAACTTGCTAATGAATCAGTTGGCAGGTAATGTCTCCACTTGTGAGCTCAGCCTGGAAATGAGACACGTAGCAGTCCCTCAAAGCAAGCTTAGAAGACCTGGGCTTCTGTGTCCAGAACCAGCAGCACACACCTCTTCTCTAATGACAGGACACAGGGGTTCTTAGAACTCTGACTGTGTGAAAATTACCTTTTGAACTAATAGCATCTTATTCTTTTTTCTCTCTTTCCCCTCCTTAGCCAACACAGACAGCTATAGTTACAATGAAATAGGAAAATCCAACAACGATCAGTTCCCACATTTTCCACCTCCCCCTCCAACCTTGGAGACAAATTCCTTTGAGTTGGCTTCCAAGAAACCACCTGAGATCCAGCAGGTGAATAGCCCTGGTTTTGGACTCAGTATGGCAGCCCTTCAAATGCATTTCAATTCTTCCGAGAGGGAAACTAATGGAGTCCATCCCAGCCATGGAGTAAATGGACTGATCAACGGCAAAGCTAACGGAGGAAATAAGTCTCTACCAACACCAGCTGCCCTGCTTTCACCGACTAAGGAGCCACCACCTCTGTTTGCCAAACCAAAACTGTGAGTGCTGCTGCATGGTTTTATAATTCTTTCCATATTGCTGCTTAATTTCCTCTCTCTTTAGAAAAAAAGCTTTTGCTTGGATTCAACTTTGTGGTAAGTTACTCCTTCTTTAGGCAAGTTGTCCCCGAGTGATGCAGCCCTGCTGCTAAGTGGGGTCCTTGAAAAATATAAAAGATACCTAAAAATAAAGACAGTGAGTGAGAAGCTTAGTTAAACCTGCCCTTTGCTAAAAGTTGTGGCTGTGAAAATATCTGTGAGTGCCGTGGCCTTTTGCAACCACGCCCCAGTCAGGACAGAAAGGGGAAACTCCTTTCGGCCTTCTCCAAAAGCATTGCCAAGTGGTTTAAACGTAGGAATCAGAAAGGAGATCTGATACAGACAAGAGGACAAAAAGAAAAGGGTGGGAATTCAACATGCAGGTCCCCCAAGGGGAGTGAAACCAGAGATGGTTAGGCTCTTCGGGTAGAAGAGGGCCCTCAATCACACAAGCTGCTTGACTTCAGAATTCCGCGGAGCTACGTAGTCCACCTTCATATGTGATTTCCAGTATTTTCTTAGGATGATAAACCTTGCATGGCTGTTTCCATTGGCACCACACAGCAGGGGACTGTTACGAATGGAGCCATTACAGTGTCAGAGAGAGACAAAAATCCATTAACTCAAAAGGTTCTCTCATAGTGTAACAGACCTTGAATTACTGCCCTGGCAGAGGTCAGGGGAACTGTAAGAGTTGTGTTGAATGTGTATGTATTCTACTAGGTCACATTTCCATGAGAATGAATTTTCCAGAATGTGGGAAAGCACCTTCTATTTCTGCATGATATCTGATGTTTTTGACTTGGGACAGGAAGGATTTCTGGAAAATAGGAATTCTTCTTTGTCTTCTTAGTACTGCACCATCAGTTGCCTTTTCTATGTTCAGCTCATTTGTTAGAGATATTAAAATGTGTAAGATTCTCAAAACAGAGAATGCCTTGTGTCTGGATATCATCTTATTGTTTATTTCGTGAACATCAGTAGACTACCAGAGTAGCAAAACAGCTCAAAGCACTCCATTAGCTAAGAAATAGGCAGGAAATTTTATACAAATACATGTCTGGATAATCTTCCGTTGCAGCTTTCTATCACCGCCCCACAGTTAAGTTTGTTTTCTGTTCTAGCTTATTTTTAAGGCAGTAGGGCTACTGACCAAGTCTGTGTATGCCAGAGTAATAGGTGAGCACTTAAGACCTGCGTTCGAGGCCCACCAAAAGCCTAAGCAGGTAAAATGAGCTAAAACGTAGCAGCAATAAAAGAGATTTACACTCTTAGAGCACCAGCCATAAAATTAATTGGCCCTGCTGGCTTCTTTCATCTTTCCATTTTGAATATATATTTGCAATGCTTTTAATGAAACAAGGTACCTGTTCTCCTGGGAAAGAAAGGATGAATGTATTTAATGAGTAGGACTTGACTGTGCTCTTGATTAAGTTAAGTGTATCTACTATAATGACCATCATAAATTGAATATAAATCGTAGATGGGTAAACATGAGGAGCTGTTAACAGGCATTTACAACCTTCCTTATCTCAGGCATTTCAACAGCTCTTCAGCTCTTAGCCCTCTGTAGTGATGCTGTGGGTGGAGAGGGTTATACTTACAAAGGACAGACAAAACAATTCTGTGGTTATTAAGAGAATGAGTGGATTTAGCACAAGTTTGAAGAGTGACATCATTATTTGCTTATGAGTCAGATTTTCAAGGTAAAATAAGATGCAGGAAAAGGGATCTTTAGTGTCGGAGACCAAATACTGAAGAAATCACTCTTCCGTAAAGAGGAAATTTAGGAAAAAAGAGCAGGTGCCTAATATAAACCCTGGTACTTTGAAATACATTTACATGTTTCAGATTGACCTACTATTTATTTCCTAAAATCTTTGTGTGTTTAGGTATTTTCCTACAGTATCAGTTAATTGTTTTCTTATTGCATAAAGTACCTGCTGTTTAACTAGGTAGAAAATAACGATTCTAATATATATTAAATTTTCCATTTTCCTATGATTTATAACTTACTGGGTTGATTTTAATTACAAAATAAATGGAATTTGATGTGAGAATTCAGATAATACAAACAGAATTAAAGAAACAGTTCTTACTCTCTGCTTTCTCCTCCTCAAACTCACAAGGTGACCTGTGCCATTGGTGTGTTCTGAGGTTCTGGGGTTCCAATCTTTCTCTGTTATTGATGTGGGGGAAAAAGACTCCCCACCTGAAAGCTACTTGGGACAAGTTCATGTTCTCTAAAACTGAAGAGTGAATTCTAGGAACAATGGAGGGGGTAAGTAAGAGCAGAGCATAATTATTGGAGGAAAGAAAGCTTCTGTCCAAAAGGGGAACCAAAGGGGACTTGAGCAGGTTACCAAGGCATCTGTCTTTTCTAAGGATTTTTATAGAGCAAAACCAGGAGGTGAGGAGGGTCTGAGGGTGAGAACTCACTAGGTGAGCATGAGGTGGGACAAAACTATAGCCAACCAATAAGATTACAAGCACGATTGCTCAGATAAAATTGATGAGATCAGGATCAAATGGGGAAGTGAGTCATGTAGCAAGCCAGCAAGAATACTGACCTGGGGCTTTTCCTGTAGGGGGTTGGATTAGTGACCTTTTGTTTCCTTTTTAAAGTGATAGAGACCTATTTAGAATATCAATGCCTGATGTTTACCTTTAGAGAGGTAATCCTTTGTCTCATCTCTTGTCTTGAGGTCTGGCCCACAGCGGGGGTGTCTGTCTCCCAAAGTTGCAGGGTCCTGTCTTCCCTACTGGCTCCTTCTGAGGGCCCAGCCCTGTCTGACTGGGTTAGATAGTGTTTCTATCTAACTCAGCTGCCTACCACATTATCAGGATCACTCAGGAAAAGATTCGCTCATTGTTTAGAACATTGTATGAATTAATGGGGGAAATACCATGAAATGACAGCGGCAAATAATATAGAATAATTAATGACTACAGGTAACAGCCAAGTAAAAAACTATTACACATGTGTTTCTTTTCATAGATTGGAAGAAAATGGTACTTTTGTGCCTCTTGTGGACAGCAGTGAAAAAAATAATTTGTTCTAATCTTTATTTCAAAACCCTATGATTATTTTTTTTTCAAGGAGAATTTTATTTTGGGGGGCTCTCTGTATTTCATGCATTTTCATCATCTGTAACCAAACTAGTAGGAAACAAATAGGAGGGGCAAGAAATCAGAACTGAAGTGCTTATTCTCATAATAAAGCTTAAAATGGTGTAGCATTGTGCGATTCCTGGGTGGGAACAGTTATTTTCAAAAAGAAAATCTCTGCAGTGTTTCGTCTCATACAGGTTCAATGCTGATCATGGGGAGAGAAAAAAACAAATTGATGGCTAATAGGAAGAGATGAAAATAGCATTAGCTCTTCGCTCTAAGTGTGGCCCCCAGCTCCTGTTATCAAGTAGAAATGCTCATCAGTAGATCGGCAAGCATCTTGCACGTCCCCTAGGTCTGTCATACTTGGCCATCAGGGTGAGTTTCTCCGCTCAGGATCCTGGAGGCGTGGTCACTGGACAGGGCCCCATAAGGTCTTCCCCAAAGAGGAGATGGGGACCACAACTCACCCCACACACAGTGTAGATTGTAGGCTCGCACCATGGAATAGCATTGTTGACTATGTCAGTGAGAGGAATAGAAAATTTTAGTAAGCAGAATCAAAGTACACACACAGAAAATGGGGTTTGGGAGAGGGGCCCTCAGGTCTGGGCTTGAGGGCTTGATACTGCCTCTAAATGTCCTCAGGACAGCCTGTCTGGGATGTGTATTCCTAGAGACTGTCAGGGTAACCCTTTAAAGGGCTGTGTGAGAATGCAAATCATCTGCATAGGTCTGAAGTTTATAGGTATGCTACCCACTTGATAACGAAGTTTCCTCGAGGGTGGAATCTGTGGATTTTGTGAATAAATACTGGAGAAGAGAGAGTTCAATTTACAAATGAAAAGGACGGGCCCAGTTTACAGCCTTATTGTATCTTTACGTCCCATAGAAAGCCTCCCCTCCCACAGTGAGTTTCCTAATAGGAAAAAAGGAATTGTAACAGTGGGACATTTCGGTTGTGCGCTGAAGCTGCAGATTTCTTTTTTTAATTAATAAGTTTTATTAGTACATTTTTATATATCATAATGATAATATTCATGGTATAGAATTTGTACTGTGTACAAATCTGTGTATGATATATCTTAATTTTTCTTTTTTCTTCTGCATTCCCTTCCTCTCCTTTCAACTCCTCTTGCCCTTCTTATTTATAAAAGCAGTTTCCATTTTTTCTTCTATTCTGTTTTTCCTTTTCCCTGCCTTTCTTTCCCCTCCTCATCCCTATTTCTCCTCATTTGAACATGTTCTTCCTATTTTACAATATCTACTCTACTTTTAAAGTCTTTATTAAAACTTTTGGTTTATGATGCCAGAAAAAAATATAATAATTTGTTTCACTTATAAGTATGATCTCAGGGGCCAGAGAGATGGCTCAAATGGAATAAGCACTTCCTTGGCAAGCGAAAGGGCCTGAGTTCAATCTCCAGTTCCGTCAAAAAAAAAAAAAATAAGTATGATCTCAAGGTCCAACGCTTTAGCTAGAAATGTTTCCACTTTATCCTTCTTTATGGCTAAGTAGAGAACATCCCACTTTTACCTATTCATCAGTTGAGGGATATTTGGGCTATTTCCAAGATTTAGCTATTACAAACTGCTATGAACGTGGGTATAGATATGGGTATGGATATATACATGCTGCTATAAATTTGGGTATAGATATATGTCTGTGGTGTGATGATTTTAATTCTTTTGGGGAGATACCAAGAAGAGGAATAACTGGATCCAATGGGACCTCTAGTCCTAGTTTTTGAGGCATCTCCACACTAATGTCCATAATGGTTGCACCAATGTGCACTACCACAAACAGTGGAGAAGAGTTCCTTTCACACCACAGCCCCTTCAGCGTTTAT